GGCCTGGTCATCCCCCCTGGGGGGTGATTTCTCACTTTCTGTCTCTCTGTCTCTCTCTGTCTGTCTGGTGAGCGCACGCGCCCTATAGCAAAAACCTCTCCAAAAAAAGAAAAAAAGAAAAACACACTGGGCATGTGTATGTGCATGCCCCAAATCTGGGGAAAATGGAGGAGAAGAGATTATGGCATGGCCGTCTCCCCTGAGGGGTGCTTTCTCACCTTCTCCCTCTCTCACTTTCTGTCTGGTGAGTTCACACACCCTATAGAAAATTGGGAAAAAAATTAACCAAAAAAAAAAAAAAGAAGAAGAAGTAGTAGTACTGATGCTTGATGCCCAAACAAGTCACCAGCCAGCCCAAATTGGCCCAGTCTGGCTCAAACTGGGCTAGGCAGGACCTGGACACTGGAGCTTTCAGATGATGATGAGGGCAAGCAGAGGGTGCCCCCTGGTATAGATCAGTTTGCTCCTTTGACTGCCCTGGCTGTGCCCAAGCTCATCCCGGAGTCTGATCTGATTGGTCTGGAGAGGAGACCTTATACCACGGTTTTTAACTCCCCAAAGTATTCTGATGCATGGCCATAGATGCAAACCACTGGTACAGAGGACCTGAGATCAGCCATGTGACTTAACCTCTCTGAGCTTCTCTTATTCTATGAATAGACGAGTGGTCTTAGCAGCTACAGACAGGGCCTGGTCAGCGCAGTCTCGTAACACTCTAGTCACTGACAGCTTCCCTGTGCAGGCTTTGGGCTGGAAGCCTAGGGAGCATGCCCTTTGGTGGCATTCTGCACCCATCTCCCCACCTTCTGAGCTTGGTGCATGCACCGGTTACATTTCAGACCTGTGCACCAGCCCAGCTGACACCCCAGCTCAGAGCTCCAGCAGCTGCCCCGCCCTCACAGAAACAGCCAGTCAGACCTGTAGAAAAGCCAAGTCCAAGTGGCTCCTGCCACTCCTCATCATTCTGCCTCTCCCAGTGTGGCTTGCGGACCACCAGCACCGCATTGCCCACTCATTCCGGTCAAAGAGTCTGCATTTTAGCAAGATCCCCACATGCACACGGTTGGAGAACTTTAAAAGCTTCTACTCATTATAGACATATGTGATTTTTTTTTTCTCAACACAGCCAAAAATAGACCTAACTTCATGAGTTACCTAGGGCCCCACCCTGTCTGAAGGTATTGCCAGGCCTGGACCCTGAGTTTTCTGGTTTGCTGCCCAAGCCCCTTTAAATTGAATTTTATTTTGACAAGGCTGCCCATTTGTGTAAATGCTCTTCAAAGCAGACAGCCATCATCCTTCTTCCTTTTTCTTTCTTTTTTTCTTTACCTTTTTTTCTGTCAGCAGGATGTTGATGCAAAAAATAAAGTAAAAATCTTTAGCTGACCGTGGCCAAAGTATTCAGCCAGTGATTTCCAAATGAGAAGAAAGGGTGGATTATTTAGTTTGATAGCATGCCTGTCCTTTAGCCAACTTTTAATGAGCACCTACTGTGTGCTGCCTTCTGCTAATGAAAATAGTACTGCAGAGGTTAAGGGTCCCAACTCCTGGAAGAAACCTGAACTATGTGATCTTGGCAGGTTACTTAACCTCTCTGGCACCCAGTTTCATCAACTGTGATATGGAGACCAAATAGCATTTTTTTTTTTTGCCTTTTTTTTTTTATGTTTATTTATTGATTTCTTCCGTGAGAGAAAGACAGATGCCCCAATAGAGTTCCCACACTGCATCATCCTCAGTGTCAGCCGACCTGGGTCACAGGCGTGCACGCACACCCAGTGTGCTTGGGGGAAACCAGGACTCAGGAAGGCCCACTCGTGCTACCACTGTGCCACCATCTGGCCAATACCCCAGTGATCTCACAGGTTGAGTGTCGAGTGGATTACATGTGAAGCTTTTAGCACAGAATCCACACACAGGAAATCCTTAGTATGTGCCCACCATTAGACTCCTGTAGGCCACCTGCCAGCAAGTGAAGCAGACATTAATGAACCACCGTGACGAGGCATGGGAAGGGCGACATTCGGGCTTGCACAAAGAGGGAGGGGTTAGCTCTGCCCCTATCGTATGCACCAAAGAGGAATGCAGCTTCGTAACTCAGAACACATCGTGGATAAATTCCAGAAGAGTTTAAATTTGAGGGGGCGCATCTGAGCAGCTCTGGCCTGGGCAGCTGAACCTGGACTGTGTCACAGAGCATCCCTGAATTTTGAACTGGTAGAGCCTTTAAAACTGTAAAAACAGCTGATGTTCCTGGAGCACCAACTGCGCTGGCCCTCATTCTAAATGCTTTACACATTTCGACTGACTAATCCTCACCCTGACACTGTACATTAGGGATCAGGCGAGGAAGCAGCCCAGGAATGTGCCACTCTGAGGGATGGAGCCATCTGAGCCGAGGCACCTCGAGGACTCTGCTGTTCTCGAGCAGCTGGTGGCCTCAAACTCTCCCCTGCCAGTGTCCACTGCTGCTCTGTAAGATGGGGACCTTAACAGCACCTTTGTACCAAGTTTATGTCTTGATTTCTTCCATGAGTGAGAGAAAGGTGCCCCCCACAGGATCCTCACACTGTGATCACCCTCAATCTCAACTGTGCACCCCTCTCCACCCTGTCTCCCTTGAAGGCAAGCCCCTAGGTGTGCATACATGGACGTCCCTACTGAGCCCCTGGACAGGAGTCTAACGTTTTTGCTGGGCCACAGAAAAGTGGCTGCTGCCCGGCCCCCACCCACCCCCGCACCCAGGCAAGCCCCTAGGTGTGCATACATGGACGTCCCTACTGAGCCCCTGGACAGGAGTCTAACGTTTTTTGCTGGGCCACAGAAAAGTGGCTGCTGCTCGGCCCTCACCACACCCCGCACCTACGGTGAGCCTCTTGCACCCTCTAGGGGTCACAGGCTGCTGATGCTGTCAGGTCCGTAGAGTTGGAGAGGAAGGTTCAAAGCCAGCTGTGAGTCTCCCCTCAGCATAACCTCAGTGTTCTTGTCCATAGCTGAGACATCGCTCTCCTTGCCCAGGGCACATATTAGGACAACCAGCACAGCTCCGCTAATAGGTCTAGTCTGAGCAGCAGGGACACTGGTGACTCAGGCATGACCGTATCTTCAAAGGAATGCCACTCACAATTGGCTCCTTACAGACAGCAGGGTGGGTTCAGTAGAGCACAGAGTAAGGGCCAGTGGTGGTAGAAAAGACTCGGGGAGGGCCACAGAGCCCACAAGGACACATGGGCTAGGCCAGGCTGTGCAGTGAGAGTAGCAGTGCGAGTGTTCCGGGAGGAGGGCTCCATGCATGCAAAGGCCTGGCTCAGCCGGCCCCGTGTGCCAGGCAGCCAGGAGCAGTGAAGTATAGGACCAGGTTCCCGGGGCTTTGCATTGTTCCCAGGAGCTGGGACTTGATCTCAGGGTAGTGCCTGGAGGATTTGGGGCCCAGGATGACAGAGCCACTTCCTCTCTGAACACCCCTCCCTCATCATCTGCAGTGTGGTGGCAGAGCAAGGGGAAGGGATGGGAGGCTAGAAGAGGAGGGATGGACCATATGGACCATGGTGGTGACCCAGACAGAGGTGACATGGGCCTGAGCTGGGTGTGGCTGTGGCCAGAGGGACAGAAGTGGAGAACCTGAGCGGGGAGAGGCAGCACTGACCAGGCGTGCTGGAAGCAGTGGGGTGCCAAGGCCCCTGCCCCTCCTTGCTTTCACCCACCAAGCACGTCTCCAGCGCCAGCTCTCTGAGATGTGCAGGGTCTGTGACAGTCTCTGGCCAACATTTCCTGCCATCTTTTCCAAGAGTCCTACCCTGTGGAATGAGGATGTGGTAGGGCAGGGAGGTGCCTGTAGCCTGGTATTAAAGGAGCCTGGTCCCACGTGGCTGACCACCGTCTGAATCCAGCCCCGGTGGCTTCAGAAACATGCTGGAGTGCATATCCCAAATCCCGAAAGGCTGGAGAAATGGTGAAGTGATTCAGTGTGACCACACCCCATTGAGAGAATGCTTTTTCCCTTTTCTGTCTCTCTCTGGCGAGCAGATGTACTCTCTTACAATTAAAAAGAAAGGAAGGAAGGAAGGAAGGAAGGAAAGAAGGAAGATCCTCCTCTTTATCATATACATATATTGAATTCCTACCCATCAGAGAACCCTTGGCAACCCTCACTAGGCACTAAAGTCTTTGTAGATTTTTAAAATTTTTTCTATTTGTAGGTTTTTGCCATAGGGCACATGTGCTCGCTGGAGAGAGACAGGGAAAGACGATGCAAGGGAAAGTGAGCAATCCCCCCAGGGAGTTGGCCACGCCACAGTCCTGTCTCCTCTATTCTCCTCTCGGGATGTTGGGCATGTGTGCGCAGCTGATTTTTAAGCTACTGGGACTCACACCACAGTCGGCCATGTGGAGTCCAGCACCTCAGCCACTGTGCCGTCTGCTGGCCCTGGTACTAAGGTCAGGGTGGGTCTCCCCACATCCCTGCAAGCCAGTTTACCCCACCTGAGGAGAGACAGGCAAGCCTCGGAGAGTTCATCATCTGTGCTCTGCTGGAGACTGGGGCAGGGCGGGGTGACAGTGGTTGGAGCCTGCTGCCTCCTGCAGAGCTCACGGCCGAGTGCTGACCAGGATGGCCCAGCCAACGGGCCCGTGTGTTTCTCCCCCAGGACACCCTGGAGAGAATAATGGGATGGGCGCACATGGCAAAGGCAGTCGAGTTCCTGAAGCTGCAGATCCAGGAAGAGACCAAATGCCGACTGGCTGCCATATCCCGCGGCCCGGAGGTGGT